TTTCTTTACTCTTTTCTTTTTAGCTTTCCTTCTTCCTCTTCTCCTTCTTTTTTCTTTTCTTTATGACTTTTTTTTGGTGATTCAGATATAGTTGTTTTTTCGTTTGTTTTTCGTTTGAACATGAACGAAAGTAATCTCTCCCTACTGACCTTCTTTTCTTTGTCTTTTCCTTCCTGGTCTGTTTCTTCTTTTTCGCCATTCTCTTCTACTTCGTTGTTACTGGAACTTCTTGTTCTCTTCTTATCTGAACTCATTTCTTTTGAACAAAGTTTTTTCACAACTTCATCCGTTCTCTTTTCTTCATTTTCCAATGGTGGGGTTGAGATTCTTATTGTTTGGTTCTCATGTGTTTCTGGTGTTTTCTCAATGTCACTCATGGAATTGTTCAAAAGTTCTTTTTGATTTCATTTGAAAAAACTACTATTGCATCTTTATTCCAAATAAAATCAATTTTATTTTATTACAAACTTATTTTTATCAATAACACAACCACAAAATGAAAAACAAACACCAAAATTTAAAAAAAAAAATACTTAATCTTTATTTAATTAGTTATAGAAAAGATATCATTCAGTTTTAAATTATTTACTTGAGTTTATTTTGTTTTCTTTTCAAAAACTCACGAAACAAATTAATTAAAATATACTCTGACAATAGAAAGATTAGTTTATTTTAAATAAAGAACAAATGTCATGAAGCTTTAGAGTTAATTTTGTTATTAAAGGAAATAATAATGTAAAGGATAGTTAATTTAAACATATTTTATAAACTTTACAATCAGAACTAATAAATACTATCAACATAACACTTTTTGATTAAAGAATGGAATCAATTAAAGAAAGATATGAGAAGGTGAGGCATTATTCAATGAAATGGTTATTAGAAGATATAGACATTAACAAACAACAACACCAGTACCTCCATTTTTGGAAACCATCAATAGAAGAAGAAGTTAATAAGAGCTGCTTAGGTAATTGGTATCCATCAGAATTTGATTACGATGGAATTCATTACTACTTCTGTGAACAATTTCTAATGGGATGCAAAGCAAAATTATTTGGAGATGATGAAACATTCAAATTAATAATGGACTCTAGAAATCCTTATGAAATGAAGAAACTAGGGAAAAAAGTAAAACACTTTAAAGAAGAAATTTGGGATAAATACAAAGCTGCTGTTATGTTTGAGGGAGGTCTTGCTAAATTTTCTCAGAACCCTCAACTAAGACGATTCTTGATAGAGACAGGAGACCAAGTTCTTGTTGAAGCGAGTAAATTTGATGCTGTTTGGGGGATTAAAATGGAAGAGCTAGATGAGGGAGCAAATGACCCACATCAGTGGTGTGGTGAAAATATTTTAGGATTTACTTTAATGTCAATAAGAGATTATCTTCTTGTTTGATTTATTTTTCTGTTTGAAAATTTTGGTTTTATATTTAATTTTGATAAAATAATTTTTCTTTCCTTTATAATTATTTATTTTTACAATATTCTTATATCATTTCTTATTTCAAATATTATGAAATTCATGGACAGAGTTTCATTTTGTTTATTGGGATTTATTTTAAGTTCCTTCTATTAAGACTAAGTATTGATTACTTAAAACACTCAAAAAAAGTTGTAAAAATAAATACCAAGTACAGTACTTACAATGTTATTTATTCATTCTTATTATCAATACTAATTTATCTTTAATACAGTATTTCTACTTTTTTTACTAACTAATTAATATATAAGATCAAAGAAGAACTTTATTAAGATGAAAAACATTAATTACATATCATTTGTGTATTTCTATTGTCCAAGTAAAACTATTTACAAAACAATAACCAATATTGTTTATTTAATTTTCATTATATTTAGCAATGATGAGTATATTGTATACAAATTTATCATGAACAATATTTTAATAATTATAATATATCAATGAATTTTACAAAAGAAATATATCAAATTCTAATAGCAATTTAACAAAAAAAAACACAAGTGTTACGATATTATCTAAGATGATACATTTTTATTAAAAGAAAAATTTTATTCAAAGAGAAATTTAGATAAGAAATAAAGATAAAATGAATTATGAAGAAGAGGAGTATTTAAATGAATCTTTAAAACGCAGTTAAAAGAATTTAGAGAAAAGAAAGTAGTCTATTATACTATACATGTAATCGTATAAATCATATCAATTATATTCATTTGAGAATTTATTGAAATAGATAAAAGTTATAATCAGTTTTAACTCAATAAAATTACTTAAATAATTATTTCAATGAGATTTAGAACAATTGCATAATTTCTTTTTTCATTGGATTATTAGAATTAGCAAGAGTAGTAGCTCGTTTTCTTCTCTCTGATTTTATAGAGGTTTTTTGTGTTGTGTTTTTTTCTTCTGATGAAATTGGTTTAGATTCATTGAATTTATCAAATTCTAATGCTCTTTTAAATAATCTGTCGTTCTTTTCTTTATTTTCCATAAACTCTTTTCTTATTTTAGCAAGACGTTTATATGTTGAATCTTTTTCAGAATTCTTTTTCATCATTTCTTTAATTTTACATTCTAATAGTGCATCTTCTTCTTTCTCTTTTGGTCCATCAGTTGTATATTTTGTTATAAGAATTAATTCACTTACAACTTCAACTAATTGATCCATTAAAGCTTCTATTGAAAATGAAATACCATCTTGCATATTAGGAAGATATGTTGGATGATCAACTGCATCAAATTGTTCAAAACAAATAGAATCAGGTTCAAGTCTCATAAAACTACCTTTATTATGATACATATCACAATAATTAGGAGCAGAAAATACTGTAATACATGGAGGAACATCAACATCTTGTAAGAAGTAATGAAGTTTATATCCTTCTTCCATAACTTGATGTGCACGAACAACACAAGTTAAGTTATTATTCTCAAGAAATGGAATAAGACTTTTTGCTCCAAACAAAAAACTAGTCATTCTACTTGTATTTTCAATAAAATCTATATTCAACCATTGTTGAGCTGATTCTGAATCTAAATCTTCTTCTGGTGGTTCATCTAATGGATCAGCCCATAAAATATCAGATAAAGGTCCAGAAGTTGGTGGTTCAATAAAACGATTAATAGAATTATAATCACATATACTGGACATATCAGGTGAAATTCCACCATGACAACATAAGAAATCTCCTAACTCTTTTGTTCCTACTCGAACAGCAATAGGAAATGAATCAAAAAGAGTATAAACTAATTCTAATAATTCATTTGATTGATATTTTTTAGTAAACTCTGCAGCAAATGTCATATTTTCAGACATAACTCTACTTTCATGATTACCTCTTAAAAGGAAAAATCTATGAGGATAATTAATTTTACATGCACAAAGATATAATAAAATTTCTGTTGAAAAATTTCCTCTATCAACATAATCACCTAAAAATATAAATGTGTTTTCTTCATTCTCTGGTGGTCTTACATCAAATATTGTTAACATATCATAAAATTGTCCATGAAGATCTCCTACAATAATTACTGGAGCTTGTCCTTCAATCATATTAGGTTCTTGTTTTAAAATCTTTGTTGCTTCTATGATAATTCGTTTGGCACAATCAGGATGAAGTATACCTTCTCTACTTAAATGATTTCTTAATAATGATAAATTAGGTTTTTTTTCATCTGCATATAAAAAGTTTTCTGGTAACAATCTTGTTTCTGGAATTGGTACACTATCTTTTATACGACCATCTCCAACGGGTTTAGGTAATATTTTATCCCACATTATTGAACGTTCCTCAACTTTCTTTTGTTGTTGAATTTTCGGGATTTGATTTTGTTCACTAATAGCAACACTTGCAGACCTTGTTTTTTTTCCTCGAACCCGTCGACTGCTCATAAAAAGAAATCGTATTTTACCATTTTTCAGTTTTTTCAACTCAAAATTATTTTTGGATTTATCTTTAATATGAAGGAACAAATTTCTTCGTGTATTTTGTTTTAGAACTAAAAATGGTGAGAGAAATATAACAAAGCTTTTAATAGCATAAGTACACTTAAAATTAAGTATACTAAACAACGTATGACTAAAATTTGTTGAAGAAAATTGACTCATTCTAATAAACGAAACAATAAATTTCATGAAAATATTGTATAATAAAAGATTAATTTTATTAAAGAAATTACAATTATAATATAATAAAAAGAAAAGATTTAATAAAAGAAATGACAAAATAATGAATTATTTTTATTATATTTTATGAAAAGAATAATTTATCTTTTAAAAAACAAATAAATTGTTTCAAATTAACTTTTTATAAAAAAAGATAAAGAATTATTATATTTATTTAAACGAAATAACATAATACAAAGATAAAAATTGTTATTTTAATTAGTATCATTTTTTTCAATGAAATCATTAATTTCATTTTCTAAAGAAAGAATTAACTGCCTAAATTCATCAAACATTTTTTGATGTAATTTACAGTCATCGTTATTAATTTTTTTCTTTAAAGTATCAAGACTAGCTCCAATAATCTCACAAATTCTTTGTAAAATAGTAAATAATTCAGATACAGAAGGAACTTCACACCCAGTATAAAATCCACTACTTAAGAACGTTTCAGTAATTTCATATACACTTTCCTCCTTTTGTTTTGGTTGTAATAAATTTCCAACACAAGTTTGAATATTTTTTAATTTAGTAGAATCTTCTTTGCCAGCAAGTTTAAGGTCTTGATAAGAAGACAATATACTTGTTAATTTATCTAATCTATATGAAAGAATGTCTGTAATGTTTTGAATTGGAGTTAATTTTGTAACTTCTTTATCTACAACTTGTTGTCTTTTTAATCCACATGGCATAGATAAAGATGTAGTTAATACATATCGTTCTTTCGATCTCTTTAGAATATCTGTTTTTGGTCCACTATCATCTTCAAAAACAAATAATTTTGTATTAGTTAATAGTGTTTGTGGATCTCTTATTGGTTCATTATCAATCATAGGGAATACTGCTTTAACTTTAACATAATTAGTTACTGAATCATCAACATGCTCATTTTTATCAATAAATGGTATATCTTTAATACCTGCCCCTGTAATAAGATTCTTTAATTCTTTATTGAAATCTTTTAATGGTTTTTGTGAACGATAAATATATCCAAATGGTGTTGACAATGATTTTAATGCTTCACCAACAAATTCAACATGGAAGAAATATCCACTATATATATCCACTGTATTATCTTTAACATCCATATTTTTATATAATTTTTGAATAGTAGCATGACATTCTGCTAACTTTCTATAATCTAATATTTGTTCATAATATGGTAGCTCAAAATTACATAATGCTAACGCATAATTATATAAGTGAGATGTATCAAAATCTTTAACTCCTTGTTTTATATGAACAATCATACTTTCAAATGAACAATCATTATTCTCTTGTAATTCAACAACTTTATCTTCACTCAAAAAATCTTCACATATCTCTGTTAAAAATTGAACAGGAAGATCATTAGATCTATTTGCAATATGGCAATAAATATAATGAACCATATGTAATTCACACATTCCTGCTTCTACAAAATTTAAATTCTTTCTATTTTCTGCAGCCATTTTATTAAACCATGTTAAATGAAGTCTTGGATTATGTTCATAATCAATTGTACTTTCATAAAACTTTTGAATAAGAAACTCTGGGTCATTTGATTTTTTAGATAATTCATCTAATTCAACAAGTTTATTAATCATTTTTCTCATTTCTTGATCCATATCATCAATACAATGTTCAAATATATTTTGTTTATGTTCATTAACATCTAAAAATGCTTCGTATCTAAACCTATCATTTTCATTTAAGAAATATTTTCTTTCTTCATCTTCAAGTATTTTAATTTCTTTCTTTTTATTACTTTTTTCTTCTTTTTTTGGTTCTTCTTGTTTAGAATATTGAAGTACCATTTCATTAATATCTTTAAAGTTATTTGTAACAGTAATAGGAATGACAGTATAATCACAGTATGCATTAATTTCTGGTACTTCCATTTTTTCCATTTCATCAATATTTTTCTTTATACTTTTAAGATTTTGTACCTTACTAAAGAAATCATTATCTTTTACTGTTAATTCTTTCTTTAAATCACTAAATTGAACAAGTAGTTTAAAGTATTCTTTTCTTTTATTTTCATTTCCTTCTTCAATTACTTTTCTTTCTTCAAAGAATTTTGCCAATTCATCAATGTTATTAATTCCTTCTTGTATCAATGAATCACATTTTGACATAAACTCAGATCCAAATGGTTCCATATTTAAATATGTTTCTGATGTTTCACTCCCTTCACTATTATTTGAGTCTGTAGATAATCTTGATGTATTTATATTAAATTGTTCTCCTTCAGCTAATGCAATGCTTTTTCTTGTTTGTCTTCTCCTATTATTGGCACGTTTCATATCAATAACAACAGCATTTACTAACGCTTTTAAATTGGCAAATTCTTCATGAACATTTTTTTGTATTTGAATCATTTCTTCTTTTTCTCCTAAACAGTCATTAGCAATTTTACTTAACCAAACCATATATTCATTTGATTTAGTATTTTTTTCTTTCATTAATAACTCTACTGTTTTACTCCATTCATATAATTTAATTGCATTTACTGCAAATTCTCTTTCTTGACTATGCCATTGTTTTTTAAATGTCATTCTTCTTTCATTTGCTTCAATCTTTTTAATAAGAGTATTTACTTTTTCTACAATACTTGCACTCATAGGAAGTATTTGTTTCCAATATTCAAATCTTAAACACCATGGCCTTTGTTGTCTCATTAAATGTTCACTTTGTTTTTCAACTGTATCATCACTAACAGCAAATCTATCTTGTACTCTACTAAAATCTTGTAATGTTGAATTAGTATAACTATCTCCTAATGGTTGATCATATAAATTCTTTGTAACAGAACTATACATATCTTCAATTTCATTCATTACTTCTTTCCTTTTAAGTTCTAATTCTTTTTTCTTTTCTTCATATACATTATAACAATCAATTGACTCTTTTACTAACATTAATTTTTGTTCAAATAATTGTTCTACTAATTCAAGAATATCAGAAAATTGTTTATCTTCAATTGGGAAATATGGGTTCTTTTGTCCTGTTGTTTCCATAACTTCTTTATATTTTTCTAATCGTTCTTCTGCTTCTTTTTTAATTTGATTAGCTTCATTTTCTCTCATAACTCTTAATGTTCTTAATTGTTCAATTGTTAAATTTTCACTCATCATTTCATTAGGAGTATTGTTACTTGGTTTTGTCATAACAACTTTTATTACCCAATTTAATGTTTCAAGACTTTGTTGCATATGTTTTCTAAAAATTTCTTCTAACTCAATTGCCTCTTTTTGATCATCTCGAGACCTTTTATCAATAAGACTTAAATGGCCCATCGTCACTTTAAATTGGTCAATTAAACCAGTACATCTATCACTAAGTAATTTAACAAAACAACATTCTTTAAATTTTTCTTCAATATACATTTTAATCTTTTTAACATCAATTCCTCTTACTCTAAGATGTTCTGGGAAGAAATCACAAATATTTAATTTTAATGTAGTATACCCGTTAATTAAATCAGCATTTAATAAGTCAAGTGGCTCAAGAATTTCTCTATGTAAACTAACAACATTGTCTAAAAACGTTAAAAATTCATCTGTTGCTCCTGCAGCAACACCAAGTTCTAATTGTTGAATTCTAAAAAGATATTTTGTATCATAAACACCTTGTTCTTTATAAATTTTAATTAATTTCATAATAATTTCTCTTGAAGAAGTAAAGTCTTTTTGAGGAAGATTTATTAATTGACTAATAGTGCGTTCAAATTTATTTTTATTTTTCATTAAATTTTGTAATTGACTAAGTGCACAAACAATATGATTTGATATTTTTGATAAATCTTTATCACAAACAAAGTTAATTTTTGAAAATATATATAAACTTTGTAACGCCATTTGACATACTCTATCATTCTCTGAACTACATAATTTAATTATATTCTTTAATAATTGGAATGAGAAATCAACTCGTTTAGTAAAAATATAATTACAATATTTACTTAATATCTTTCTTACAAATGCAAATAATTGTTCTGCATATTTACTATTCATTGGACAATCAAATAAAACATTATTTATAATATTTTCAATATCACCCAATGCAGTTTTAGATTCATTATCACTTCCTTCTGTAGCACTTTCTTCTTGTTGAGTTCTTTCATATAATATTTCTAATGCATCTAATGTAACCATAACACAGTCATAAATTATGTAATGTTGAAGAAAATCATATTCATTTCTTTTTATTGAAATGCTCATAATTTTTCTTCTTCTATCTGCTTTATTTTTATTTTCAATTTCTTGTTCTTTAAGCATTTCTTCTGTTGGTGCTTGACTTGGTCTTCTTTTTTTAATATGAATAATTTGCATTGGTTCTTTAATACTTATTTCTTTTGTTTCATTTTCTTTAGTAATGTCATTAATAATTCTTTCTCTCATTTCTTCAACTTCAGGCTCAAGGTCTTTAAATAATGGAAGTGGATATCTAGATAATAACATTAATGACCTTCTTATAATATTAACAATTACTTTAACTCTTGATGGAACTTCACCAGTTAACCATGACTTTAATGTTTTATCATCCATATTTTTTAATACAAAAAAGAAACAAATAGATATCATCTCTACATCCTCTATTCCATCATTTTCTCTACACCTTTTATTTTCCCAATCAAGAATAGAATCGTTATCATCAATTAACCTTAACACAATTCCAAGTAACATATTTGATATAATTCCTTTTTTGTTTTGTAATTTGGCGTCAAGATCTAATCTTTGTAAAAA